CGTACGTCGTACGTCGTTCGTTAACGTACGTACGACTACGTACTACGGTACGTACGTCGTCGTCGTCTCTCTCTCTACTTACTTCTATAGTATAACTACTACTCTCTCTCTCTCTCTCTCTCTCCTCCTCTCTCTCTCTCTCTCTCTCTAACAAAGGCTTTATATCTCAAACTGTGTTTTATATCATTCAGGTTGTATGGTATGGGGCATGGACAAAAAGGTCTGCAGATCAAGGAGAAATAGCTAATATTCCTCTGGTAAGTTTATTCATTTCTTTCCATTTGTTATATTTAAAGGGCTAAAATGATTTTTGTACAAGCCCTTTTTTTGTACATTGTATGATTACTTTCTCAAAGCTTTTATTGGAAATTAAATGTTTAAAATTTCATGTGTGCTATTCACCCCAAAGAAACAAAAAAAAGACATTTGTGCACTTCATTTAATAGAGATCGTTGATGGGTAGCTGCCCTATATCCCAATGGAGTATTATATAACTTGCTCCAAATGAGATCCACCGTCCATTCCTGTTGATGGATGGTAAAGAGTAGCAGCAGTGGGCCCACGACAAAATTCACCCAAAACTAAATCTTCTGGCTTGGTTGGATGGATAGTGGATTCTCTACCCCAATTCAGCATTCCATAAGAAGGTAAGAATTAGCAGAAGGCAAGCAAAAAGAAAAAGTTTTGAAGAATTTAATATCAAATTTTTTATAATCCTACATTCAAACTAAATTGTTGATACTCTATTTTGAAAAGAAATGAAAGTAGATTAACTTAAAAAAAAAAAAAAATTGTTGCTAATCTTATTGTTATAGCACAGCTCACAAAATTGTTGACTTTTAAAATTCATATTTAATGTAGGGAATTAGAAAAGGTAAGAACAAACAGAAAATGTTTGAAGAACTCAACTATCAAATTTTTGATAATCATACATTCAAAATAAATTGTTTGGTAATCTATTTTGGAAAGTAATGGAAATACCTGTTAACTTTTATAAATGTTGATAATTTTATTATTATAGCACAACTTATTGAAAAAAAAAAGGGGGAAGCTTAGCTTTCTTAAACGAAGCCAAGTATAACTATTTTTTTTTAATTTTCTATGGAGTTATTCGGAATTATCTACAAAGAGGTCATTCATCTTTTGTACATCGAGGTTAGACTCATTCTTGTTTTTTAGGACTCAATTATTGGGGATATAACCCCCTAAGCGCCCTACCTCAAGTAAGTAAAAATAAATAAATAAATCATATCACATTCTATGTAATTTAAAAGAAGTCCTAGGATTAAACATAGACAATCGAATATATGAACTGTCAAATGTAAGTGTAATTTTTTTTATTTTTTATTTTTAAATAGTCATCGTGATTCTAAAATGGATCCCAAAAATTTAAATAGGAAAAATAATAAAAATAAAAACTCCTTAATCAGCTCTTTCGCCGAGGAAGTTAGTGTATGATGTGCTCCCGTAGGAGCTCTAAGTACGTGCCCTTTCCCCAATATTTCTTTGGGAAATTTATCAAAATGCACCTATGACTAGTTAACATTTTACCCATTTTCAATTGTTCCAACTCATGATCATTGTACATTTTGATTGGCTTTTTGAAATTAAATTAAGAGCTGGTTAATTGTTAAACAGTTCAGGTCTCAGGTGAATTTCAATAAACTTCCCTATTTCATTTATGATCCTTCATGCAGAGCATTCCTTTTTCCTTTCTCATTTATTTATCTTTTATAATTTCATCAGGTACAAGCTTTATTACGCAGCGCATCCCATCAAGCCACGATTCTCGACACTGGACTCTTCCAAGTTTGTTTCGGAGAATCCAAAGACGGCATCCCGGCCTCGAAATTCTCATCAGGAGACACAGTAAGTATTCATATGCTGTTCACAGGTTTGGACAACCTTTACAATCTCACCTATGGATGCATGGCCCTGGCCAAGTCTTATTTCTCCAACGTAGAGGGTGTCTCCTCAGCCTCTTGTTTAAGCTCTTTGGACAATCCCAAGGTCTTGTGCTTGCATGTGTGGAAGTCACTGGACATGTGTTACTCTTGGCTTCTTGGCCTAGATGGAGGGACTACTATGAGACCATTAATCAGTCATCTGGTTAAGGACATCAAATATGATGTATTCAAAGTGGTTTATGTCATGGGGGATGAGATAATGTGTTTAAACTATCCTTCTGGCCCCCTGTTGATTGGTACTGAGAGAGGCAATTAAGAAGGCTTTTTAGGGTTCGGGGTTCATCCAATCTTTGTATATTGTTCATGTGTTGTATTGCAAAAGCATTTCTTATTGAAGTTCAATATCAGGTCACTTTATAGCATAAAGGAATGGGCCAGTGTCTCATTGTTTCGATGAATTAGAGGATTGATACTTGCCCTGAGAAAGGTGCATTTCCTAGCCACAAATACATGTTTTTTGCATGTGTCAACAAACCAATAACATGGCATTTATGCCCTACACTTTCAAAACTTGTACATCTTTTTTAATCTGTCATTAAAATGTCAACATAGAGATAGTCGATGTCATATAAATCCCATCCCCCCCCCCCCCCTTCTCTATATGACGTAAAGATCTATGATGTCTAAAAAGCCAATTTTGAAGTTGGCATTTCTGATGCTCATTTCTGTATCCTATGCTGACATGTGTCTGTCTTTGTAAAATAGCATGCAAAAGATACTCACATATTAGATATATTAAAATCAAAATATTAGTCAAAACAATATTGGAATTAGGTAGTTTAGAGTTTAGAACTTGCCTCATATTAAAGTGTTGTACCTAGATCCTTATATCAAAGGTTAGTCACCCATACCTAAATCCTTATATCAAAGGTTAGTCACCCATAGATATTAGATGTGAAATCAAGCTACTAAGGATGTGCCATTGATTGCGCTCACACTCACAGTTTGTTCGAACTTTATGCAAAGAAATGACACACCCCCAGCTGCCCAATTTCACATGTGACGCTTAAAGGTGATTGTGCCCTTTTTGTACCAAAAGTAAATGGAGCTATAATATACAATCCCTTTTAAAAATTATCTCAAGGGAGTTCTACATGTTTCCTCTTCAATTTGGGTGCAAAATTTCAATTCCTTGGCTCCTATCAAAGCATTATTCATCCATTAAGTATACCACCACATGATGGGCAATTCTCAATATGTGTGCATGAATATCGGATTTAATTCATCAGGAAAAAAAAAAGAACATCAGATTTTTCAGAGGTACACGAGCAAACAATAATATGTTCATATACATCTATTGCCATGAATACAGACTGTTATAGAAAGCACTATACACCCTTTAGCTTGTATGGTTAACAAGACCATATGCTGAGATAAAATTCTTATATGATATCTTCACTAAATCTCGAAGTACCAGTCAGCTGAATTCCAGCCTCTCTCTATGATATGCATCACCTGAAGATTCAAGAAATTTCATAAGAAAAAAGGACATTTATCTGTATATTGGGCAAAAATGACCCAATCCCTCAAATATTGCATGGTCCCAACATTTATCGAGTGGGATCATAGCACCATCAAACAGTTACTTCAGATGAAGCCAATTTAGAAAACAAATAATGTTAAAGTATGACCAGATTGAATACTCCAAACAGTAATGGAGCTTATAAAGATTTAGGACACAAATTCAGACAGTTATATACATACTTTTACTAGTTTTTCTACCTAGATTTCTAAACAATTTGAAACAATGTCATCGAAATACAAATGGCAGGCTTGACCAATATGAAAAATGATTTCCAATAAAGACATAAGGAATTTTTAACTCAAATATTCTTGCCAAATATAAATTGTCAAACTCTCTCTCTCTCTGCACACGTGTGCGCACTTGCAATGAAGAAACAGTTGAATAGTTCATCAAGTTTTTTTTTTTTGGGTAAGTGAGTTCATCAAGTTGATGCTGTCTTGCACCAAAGCAGTTACATCTCGTGATATGCATATTTAGTGAAAGCAATCTCTTTCAAGCCCATATAACATACTACATCAGAGCACGCTATACACTTACTCCCTCAGGCACAAGACCTACTTAGAAGAGTTTTCTTGATCTGCAATTTTGAGATCCACTTTACAATCACGAGATGAGTATTTTTTTCTTTTAAAATAAAAGGATTTTGAGTTTCTAAACACTTAAATCTGAATGTCTAAAAAAAAAACGGTCACTCTTCAATCCTAGTAAATTACTTCTTTTTTTTCGGGTAGATAAAAGAGTGCATATAACTTTTACACATTAATCGCTAGGTTGATGAGGTTAAATCCCCAAGACTTGCAGTCCTAAAAATGCAACTAGCCAGGGTTTTACCAAAGGTAGTAAATGTACATTATGCTCCCGCTGTAGCATTTAATCTATCAGCATAATAGCATGCACATCTCATGAATGAAAATCAGTGGACAACTCATGCTGTGCACGTGATATGAGAACATTTAAATGGTTCATGAAATATCACATCACATCTTGTGCCAAAGCACTTACATTTTGTAATGTGTGCAATTAGTACTAACGTTTAAAGCTTTCCTTCATCAAGAAAGTACAGGTAGAACAACATGCACATATCATGAAAGAAAAGAAGTGAACATAGTCTTGCATACTTCTTTACAGATCTAAGGGTACCCTGAGGCCATCATGAGCAAGCTGAACCCAAATACCCTCTCTGCACATGAGAAAAACATAAAAATTCAACTTCAGCTACCCCGATATGCAATTTCCAATATTTAGAAAGACTGCGATGCTCTAGCAATTAGTTCAAATCTCATTAAAGCTCATCAAATTTGCTTTTACAATTTTATGAACACAAATGGTGTATTCTGGCAACGGAAGCCAAATTTAGTTGAAATCTTGAATCTATCGTTTTTCTATTTTGTTCTAATATAAGAATATCATTTTTTAGTTCATGTGGAAGGCTAAAAAAAAGGCAAGGGATAGGCACAAAAAAATATGGTTGGAAGTAATGAGAAACGATATGGGGACTTATGGCCTCGTTGAGGTATGGCCCTTGATAGAGTAGAATGACGGGACTAGGATTCGTGTAGTCAACCTCAAATAGTTGGAAAAATGTTCTAACAATGATGATGATGATAAGAGTATCATTTTTATCAATGATATTGTACCAATTCCCAAAATCCAAAATACCTCTTCTTTTGAGTCATTCCCAACACAAACTTTTAAAAGGCGGAGAGCATACCACACCAATATGGTGTATAGTACTCCAAAGGGGCATCCATCATCCATTCCTGATGGAGATTGGCTGTAGTTGGGTCCATTAGATCATTGACCCAGTCATAGTAAATCTCCACTGAAGACTATTGAGAACTGACAGTAGATGCCCCATTAGAGTACAGAATATCATTACATGATCAGTTAATTGTATATTTTTCCATTGCAGAACTTGCTTTTACCTTTGGGACCACTCTGCAAGATATTTATTGTCCTGCTCGTGATCAAACTCGTGGGTCATCCCAACAAATAAGGCTCGTTTAGGACATATCCTTTTCACTGCATCAAGAGTCTTAAGAAAAGAGAAAGTCATTGACAAAAGTATCTTATCAAATCAAACTCAAACACCCAGGAATATCAGTGGAGTTAATAATCAGATGGACCGCCCCAATTATCGAATACAGAAACAGAAACACTTACCCCAGGCAAGCACAAGTGAGTATTATGTGTTCCTTTCTGCAAATATTTCAAGAAAAGAATAAGAAAGCATATAAGAGTCTCCCCCTCCCTCCCTCCCGCACTCACACAGCCACAAAGCCACGTCAGCATCTATATATTTTTTTAAAATTGCAATTAATTTAAAAGAAAAATAAAAGCAACGTCTAGAAAATGGGGAAATAACCAATTATAGCATCGATCGCATACAGTTCACTGTAATATATAAGAAATTTGCCAAAAAACATAATTTTTTGTCCTCTAGCAAAAGAAAGTCTAGGAAACTGGAACATAATTCATAACATACTTGCAAGAATTCTTAAATGTGAAGTTAATGATATACGTTTATCGAAAATGATAGATCTGATTGCATACTATTAGAACAGGCATCTATTAAAAGCAATCTTACACAAGTACATACCAGAGGGCTCCAAACATGTTCAGTTCTCAACTTGGATAGAACAATTTTACAGAATACAAGAGTAGATTCTGGACAAATTACACACTATAACAGTGTGTGTGGACCATCAAAGGGACATCCACTGTGCACTTCCAATGATGAACAGTGCAGAAACAACTGTACTGATCTGCACCTGGTGAATGTCCATTACTGGACAAAGTACTTTAATTTCCATAATTCCTTATCAGGAATGGACAGTGGATGTCTTTCTGGTGTACAATATAAATTAAACCATCACGTATGATATGCTTTCCCAAAAAATATGAAGTAAAATAAATTAGTTACTTGAATAGGGCCAGAACTTATACACTTCCCATTTTTGGTTAGTAGCACAGAGCTATATGCTCCGATAAGAAAAAGACGACTGAAGCAAATAAAGAACCAGGATACAATCAAACTAAGAACATGTGCCCCCAAAATTGAAGCTGACACAAAATATTCCACCCTACCTTTACAATAAAGGAAATTCAGCTTTACTAATTTTAGAATGATGAAACTGTTATTCCACACCATGAGAGTCCACATAAGTACATAACCGAAGCTTGAATATGATGAAAATTACTTATGTAGTTATCTGTAACTAACATTCAGCTTAAGTATCTCGTTCAATATTCTTGTAATAGAAAGTAGTAATGGAGAGTAAAAGCTGAAACCTGACCTGAAAATGCCGTAAAATATTCCACTATGGAAAGTTCAGCAAGTGTTTGATGTGTTATTAAAATACACAGTTCGGACATCCCTTACCCATTCTTATGAAATGACGAGAACAATTCATATGCATGGCCATGGAGATGGTGCACAGAAATTAAAAGGTCAAAGTGAAAATGGTGTAAAACCTAGTGAACAAACCTTGTACAGAGTATCCAGAATAAGAAGATCCACTTGTCGAGCTCCAGCCTTTGAAATAACTGCAAAATAAAATTCTTAAAGACAATTGAAGAACAGGAAGCAGTGGAACAATAACATAAATCTGTGTGCATTTTTTCTAGAATTCCTGTAATGATTAACTACCTAACAACCAACTTATAAAAAGCAGTACATATGTTTAGACCAAAGAAGATCCACTTGTCTCAGGCCTCAGACTCTCTACTCACCCAAGGTGAGGGACTCGCCTGAGTAGTGTGCAGTTAAAAAACAAACGAAAAAAAATTTAAAGAAAAAAAGGAAGAGAGGGCTTTGGCCACATGCCCAAGAGAGAGAGGGTTTTGGGCACCTGGCCAAAGGAAGAGATCTCAGGCCACACATCTCTCTCCGTCTCTCTCCCAGCCGGTGTGCTGTTTTCAGGCGGAGGGACAAAAGAAGTAGCAACAGTTGCAGGAAGTTGGGTTCAATTGTTCTGAGGACTACAGTGAGATAGAGAGAGGGGGGAGGAGAGAGAGTACTGGCTGAGGTAGGGAGAGAGAGTGTATACCTAGCTGCAAGAGAGGGAGTGATGGAAGAAGGATGGTGCCACCCATTTTAGAGGGAGAGAGAGACCAAGGACTGTACACCTCCCATTTTCGAGGGAGGTGAACATGGAACTCAGGTATTATAGCCGAGGCTGAGTCTCAGCCGAGTCCAAGTGAGTCAGCAGAGTCTTAAAACACTAGTTGGACATAATGTGGTTCATATATTCTCATTTTTTAATGCAATTTCTTTAATCCATATCTATTTTGAATTGGAAGGTAACATGTAATGGAGATATACTGTTGATTACTAATCGAAAATATATAATCATCATCCCGGTCTATAGATTAATAAGATCAATAAAAATGACATGTAGTTGCATGATCCAAACTTCCAAATCCATTCATCTATCATGGAGGTGATGTGAAAATTTTGAGTTTCTTCATCAAGGCATTCTGAAAATTTATCAAAGAGAAAAAACAGCAGCTATTGTCCAGTGTTGTAACTTGAAATACAGGTGGGCGAGGGAGTTCAAGGGTTTGAACTTTGATGTTTGTTATAAAGAAAACCAAGCTTATCAATCCGTAAGAAAAATAAAGACAATAACCTTTTCTTGATGACATGTCATATTAATCAAATTTTCTAAATGATGTAGATTATAGGGTAATTATCGCAAATATACCTATATTTTAGCTTAATTGGAAAAAAAACCCTCAACTTTCAAAAACCTCATATACACCATTTTTCTTCATTTTCGGGTTTTTTTGGATGAAAATGACCTTCACGGTAGTCGTTTTACCGTAATTTATATTAAGTTTTACAGTAATTAAAATACCGTAATTACTTGAAGTAGTATTGCGGTAATTAAAATACCGTAATAACTTGAAGTAGTATTACGGTATTTTAAGTACCATAATAGATAACATTTTCTTTACGGCATCTTTCCACCGTAATTAGGTATCATGTATGGCTTCCTTCTCGACCAATGAGGGAGAGGAGAGAGAGATAAAACTTGGGAGAGAGAGGGGTTTTACGTGTGAGAGAGAGAGCTTTGAGAGAGAAAGAAGGAGAGAAAAGTGGCGTGGAGAGAAAGAGAGAAATTTTAGGGCAGACGGAGATGAAATAGAGATAAAGACGGGCGAGAGAGTTGAAAGGGATAGAGATGGTTTGTTGGGGGGATTGAGAGAGATAGAGGGGGAAAGTTGAGAGAAAGAGGGGTACTTGGGATTAAAAGTGCCGTATAAAATGAGTTAAACATTACGGCAGTTAAAGTACCGTATAAAATGGAAACATTACGGTAGAAAGAATGCCGTAAAGAAAATATTATCTATTACGGTACTTAAACTACCGTAATACTATTTCAAGTTATTACGGTATTTCAATTACCGTAATACTACTTTCAAGTTATTAAGGTATTTTAATTACTGTAAAACTTAATATGAATTACAGTAAAACAACTACCATGAAGGTTATTTTCGTAAAAAAAAAACCCGAAAATGAAGAAAATAGTGTAGACGAGGTTTTTGAAAGTTGGGGTTTTTCTCTAATTAAGCTAAAATATAGGTAAATTTGCAATAATTACCCTAGATTATAATAGCGAATAGTAGAAAATAAGAATTCATGGGAAGAACCATTTCAACAACTACAACACTATGAAAAGCCCATTTATGGAAAATAAGTGTACGTATCAAAACTTGAAACACCTAAACCTAGTTACAATGATTAGAAACCTGAATTAGGAAGTAAGCTAGAAATACCATATTCGGTGCTTTCCGGAAATCGCGAAACATCAGAAATATAAGCAACTTTTGATCTTTTGCCAAAAAGGAAACCTAATGAAACATAATCTTCCCCGTGCATGACCTACATTTGAAACAAGAAATTAGAAACAACCAGTACTCAAGGATTATGCCAAAGAAGAATAAAATTATAAATTCATGATCTTGGAGGAGCGGAGTATTAGTGAAAGTAACTGGCAAAGGAATGAACTCAAGGCCTGATGTCATAAATGGTTTCTCACAGTGGCTCTCAATTATTCTCCAGTCAAGCTGAGCAACACGCCGCACTTCTTGACCCTGTTTCAGTTTTTTCTGAACCAAGTATGGAAATTTCATAGCAATGCTGGTCCAAAAAAAGAAAAACAGAACATTAGCTAAAGATCTTCTAAAAGCTGAGCAACATAAACACAATATTATGATCGAAATGAAATCAAAACGCATTTCCAGAGAGCATAAAAACACATTCATAATAGTGATGATGATGATGGTAAAACAAAATATCACCTAGTTAAAAGTATTTTTTCCTAACCAATAAGCAGGTTACAAATTATTTATAAAAATGAAAAAAATATAGGTATCTTTTTCTCTGGTAGTAGTGAATATTAGCATGCATTTTTCTGCATGTGGCAAAGCCGCATCACACAGCCCACTTGAAACCACAGGGTGGATATTTGTGTATCATCTCACCTCAACAATGCTTAAAAGATAGAAGTGGTGGTGATTCCCCCCACACAAAAGGCGGCCTGAAGAAGACGGAGACAAGGGTTGTCAACCCCGACAGGAATTCGGTAGTCCTTACACCGGAGAACTGCTGGAATATGGAAATGGTGGAAAGACCCCCCCCCCGTCCGTACTATGGGGCCCAAACTTTTAAGGATCCTCATTTTGGATGGTAGAGGACCTCCTAAATAAAAATCACAGGTTTTGGGGTCCCAAACCTGCTATGGAGTGCATAATAAAGGGCCATGGCAGAAACAGAGAAGTTGGATGTGAATCAGCCCTGAATTAAGCCTCAGAATAGTCCATACCACCCCAAAGATACTCCAGACAGTTTCAGCCCAAAATGACGCCGGATGAAGCAGATATAAAAGAAACAAGCCATGGAGCATGGTACACAAGCTGTGGAGCACTAGAAAAATGGAAAATTTGCAAAGGAGCCACTGGAAATTGGCTTCTGATGGACCCGAGATCCTCACAGATGAATTCGGATGGCTAGAAAACCTTAAAGCCCGAATTTTGCATCATTCCAAGGTTGTTAAGCCACATTTACTAAATGGATGAGGGTGGAGCATAGTATTGAAAACTTGATTTTTGTGCTCCATAGGAAAGAGCAAAAACAGCAGCTTCTTGTGATTTTCAGTGGTCGATTTCTCCTAAACCCTGAGGAGGTTGGACTGGGCTCACGTATGTAATTCTATGCTTTGTGGGCTTTGGACAAGGTGCAAATTGAGGGGTATTGGTCGCGGGAAGGTGATGAAATTCTACGAAAGAAGTTTGGACATTTTTATGTTCATGCAAATTGCAGTCCATATGACCTCCACCCGATTTTTCATCAATTTCTCCTAATCGAGGGGGAGTTTTCCGGTCAAACTTGATGCATTACAATCGTAACTCAATAAGTTTCCAAAGGACTACGGAAAGTCGCGATCATGGCACAAATCAGCAGTCGTTTTGAAGGAGAAATGTAGCCAATTTTTTTATGGTGTTGACTTTTATGGTTTCCATGGCTTCAAAGAGCCAAAACTTGCCTGATTGATGGGTTTATTGGATGTTTCTTCATGCAAAATGACCGCGATGGCAATATTCTATCTCATGACACCAAAATAAAGAAATATGAGGGAATCTGGAGCGGAAAATCAAAAAGCGTGTATAGAAGGAGCATAAAGCTCAAAATTACAAATTTCATTCAAAACTCCACCAAATCTTGAAATGTTTTACCCAAATTTGATGTAAATCGATAGCCTCGCTGAGATCTACAATTTGGTCGTGATGGATTTTGCCCGTTTTGGCCCCGGAAGATGAAAGGTGAAGGCCCTATACCATAGGTATGGGTTGAGGGAATCTTTTGAGGACTTGGGATGGAATTTTGTACATTGTGGGCCCAAATTTCGTCATTTTATGTTTGGATGGGACACAAAATTGATTATCCACCCACCTGTTTCCCCAAAAATTAACTGGCCACCCTACTTTGAAACCTTTATAATAAAAGGGTTAAACAGTTCATTTTCAAGGAGGAGAATCATTTATGTTCTCTGCAACCAGTTCTAGAGAGAAACCTAAAGTGAGAAACTCTAACCCTAAGTCTAACCCTTGGTTACTTCTTTACAACCAAACCCTAAGCCTAGTCAAGCAAAATACCTAAACTACCCCTCAACAAGCAAACAAAGTGCAAAACTATCCACTCCTCATCCCTTTAGAGCCAGGGTACCCCTCCCCAATCAAATCTTAAAACCTTGGGGGCTAGTAGGGGTTAGATTGCTCCCCTTTTGGGAGAAATTGTAGGGTATGTTCTGAACTACAAGTCCCATAAGGAGTATAGGTCTCTAGGAGCGTGTGGGTTTCCACAAGTAACCAAAAACCCATGAAGTCTAATAGGATTGGCTAAACCAACCCAGGGCGGCATGAACTCAATTTGTGAGATAATCGTTTTGTACATTGTACTCTTTACATCACATGACAGATTGATATTGCTTGCGTGTGAGAGTGCCAGCTAAATATTTCCTTATCCATTATAAATCTTCAGAGTCACAAAAAATCACAATTTGCACGCACCCCCAGGCACCATCGATGAAATGTTTGTATTGCAAGATTTAAAAACTCCAAAGAAACTCACACAGCCAGGGGGACCTTCCATTAGGAAAAAAGCTTAGAAGAGACTAAGAGGCATGGAAGCGGCGTCAAGGGCATAAAGACAGTTTCTTTCTTCTTTCTTTTTTGAAATATGTTAGCAATCAGCTTCTTTTAAGGTTTACATGCATAAAGAATTTGAAAATGTGATGAAAATGCTTTTGGACTGTCAACTTCAGGTGACTGATGAGCAAACAAGGTTTTAGTGCAAATTAAGGATCCCTGACGAGGGACTCTTGTAGGGTCCTAAGAATATGATCCATCATGTTTTCTTCAACCAGTCTTCTTCAATCCATTATATGGATGCTCCAGCAGCTTTCTGGGGACTAAAGGATAATGTGGGATAACTATACTTTGCAAGATGAAAACAAATTGCACATACTTTGCCAACAAACGCCATTGCAAACATTGTGTTTGAGAACTTCAGGGCAAGGATGCAAGGAGCGAGTATACGAGGAATCTGAATCTTGGAGATGGAAGGGAAAGAGGATGGAGAAGAAGAATAGAGAAAGAAGCAGTCCTGTAGATACAGTCACACTGATGGTGAAGAAAATCAAACTTCCCCTTTCTTGGTAGAATGATCGGGTTATGTTTCAGCCGACCCCAAATATAAATAGTATAAGGCTTGGATGATGATGATGATGAATAGGGTTCTGTTTCAGTGACCGTAAAAAGTTTGCAATTAAGTTGCTAGGGCCTAGGACCTCTATTGACATAATGATCTAGAAGGCAGAGACAAATAAGTCATAAGAGGATAAAGGAAAATAATAGCAAATAAGAAACCAAAAAGTTTGTAGAATAACATTATTTTTATTACATGAAAATCAAGAGAGATAAAAGGTGAACGGATCGTTCCTTGAAAAAAGAAGGCAAAAGTGCCTTTGTGGGCTGCCCCCTTAGATCCTTCAGCCTAAAAAGAAAATTAAGAATTGACAAGGGCTATAACATGCTTGCATCAAACTAGTCAATGCATATAAAAGAAGCAATCTAGTGACGTTTACAACAGTCCATGGTAGTGTTAATTTCAGTTAACATGGATGCTTAGATATTATGTGCTTGACGATAAGCACAAGGACATCTCAAGTTCTCAGCATAGTCATTTTGTTCATAGATGTGCAATTAAATGTTATATACTGTTTATTATTAGGAAAAAGTTTATATAAGGTTGCAACCTTAAACTGTAGAATTAAGGTGCAATTCAAAATCCATCGGAAATGGTTGTTTTGATGTTGGAAAATCCTCTAATTGATCATCTTGATATCGAGATGTATGGATATTGAAAAATTATATATATATTTCAAGTCCTAAAATAGGGCATCTCACAACACAATATCTGGGCCATCCATTTTCCAGATTTTCAAATGTTTATAGATCTACTTGATTTTAACCATTTTTTGAGTTTTTATAATTAGAGATGAAAATAGTTTCTCAGGCCATCCAAAAAAATTTTGCAACAAAATTACATCTTATAATAAAATTTGGAGGTGTGCCTTAATTTGATTGTTTAAGGTTGCAACCTTATGCAAACCACCCCCTTATTATTATTCAGTAGAATTGGTTAATGCATGCAGCTTTCCCAATCAACATTTGATGATACAACAAAGTATAACAAGACAAAACATGTTTAGAAGCCAAACTCATACAATATAATGCAGCTAGAAAGAGCAAGCTTTCAGAAAAGCAAAAGACGTCTGCATGTCATGCATCAAGACCATCATAACACTAAATAAAGATGAAATAAAGTAATGCTCTTCTGGTTTTAGGCTAATGTACACAAACTAAAATCAGAGGGCAGAAAACAGAAAGAACAGCATACCGCATTGCTGTCAGGATTGTAAAATTACCTATCCATTGCAAACTGAGTGAGGAAAATTGGAGTTGGCTCAATATCATTTGTGGGGCTAAAAGGTTGCACTGCCCGAATATCATCTAAACCAAGTATTGCATCTGCATGTTCATGGGTCAAAATTATCTGCATTTGATACAAAAAGGGTCACTTTGTGGGGTAGAGCAACTTAACATCAACCAGAGCAAATAAGGGTCATTTTGTGGGATAGAGCAACTTAACATCAACCAGGGCAAATTTGATGCTAATTATCACATTGAACAAATCAACTGACTGATGGTATAGTTATACAAAATAAAGACTCCAAAAATAGAGTGTTTGTATAAATACAAAGTTAACCATTTCAAAAAAAAAGAGTCTGTATCGCTCAGAAGCATGTAGTGTATCATCACCAAAGACCCAAACATGTGCACGTAGTGGCAAGATATATTAATGGATCGAGTTCAACATTAAGAAACTACTGCATTGCTTACTATGAAAACACCATGACTGTAGCTTCCAGGCAAGTAGAAGGTTAGATGCCAAACACTTGCATGCTGTGGTCAACCCCCTTAGCACCCACATGAACCTGAAATCCTTTGTCTACCTAACTGTCCTTTCTCCCTCATATTCTACTGGTAAGCATGTGCATGACCCATTTTTGTTAAGGTGCAGCCAAAAAAGTTGGAAACACAATTGACTTTTCTTCTAAAACATAATAAGTATTCAGGCTAAAATAATTAGCACAGCATGGCGAGGAGATCTTATAGTGGAGAGTCAATCTGGTCTGTAGATAAGAAATTTTTAGTAGTCCATCTCAACTCAATAGATAAACCCTTCGATCAAAATTTAGTGGCACGAAAAAAACCCTGGATCTTAAGCTTTCATGAATATTAATCATCATCATCATCGTCAAATCCTTTTCCCAACTAATTGGTTGGGGTACACGAATCCTGGTCTGTCATTCTGCTTTATTAAGGGTGATACCCTTAGTGAGGCCGGAAGTCCCCATGTATTTTCTCACTACTTCCAACCATGTCCTTTTGGGCCTACCCCTTGTCCTTTTTGAGCCTTCCACTTGAACTAACTCGTATCTCTTAATAGGTGTTGTACTGGGTCTGTGCCACACATGGCCAGCCCACCTAAGTCTACTCTCTCTCATCTTATCGCCTATTGGTGTAACACCTAAATTTTCCCTAATATATTCATTTTGAATTATATCCTTCATTGTCTTGCCTCTCATCCATCTCAACGTCCTCATCTTCGCTACACTCATTCTATGGGTATATTGGCTTTTTACCGCCCAGCATTCCGCCCCATAGAGCAAAGCTGGTGGTCTCACAGTTGTCATATAGAACTTGCCCTTCGGCTTCATTGGTATGCGTGATCACATAAAATTTTGGTTGCACATCTCCACTTCGCCCACCCAATTCTAATTCTATGTGCGACGTCTTCTCCAATTTCTCTATTTTCCTGGATTATCAACCCAAGATATCGAAAATGCACTCTTTTTGATATCTTCTAGCTGTCAATCTTAACTACTTCCTCATATCTACTATTATTATTAAACTTGCATTCCATATATTTTGTCATAGTCCGGCTAAGTTTAAAACCTTTAGACTCTAGAGCATTCCTCCAAAGTTCTAACTTCGTGTTGAACGTCGTTTCGGGTCTTATCGATCAACACTATGTCATATGCAAACAACAAGCACCACAGTACCTCATCCTGTAGGTGCTTAGTTAAGTCGTCCATAACTAAGACAAAGAGGTATGGGCTCAATGTTGATCCCTAATATAAACCTATTGTCACTGAAAACTCACTTGTCTCTCCAATAATTGTTCATACACTAGTTAGCACCCCATCGTACATATCTCTCACCAAGTCGATGTAATGTTTGGATTTTGAAAACTCCTTTCTTTTCCAACACCTGCCAAATCAAATCTCAAGGTACTCTATCATAAGTTTTCTCTAGATCAAACAAGACCATATGGAGGTCTTTTCCCTTCGCCCTAAACTTCTCAATCAGTTGCCTAAGTAAGAAAATAGCCTCGGTTGTTGACCTTAGTGGAATAAAACGGAATTGACTTTCTGATGCACTCGTTTCATGCCTTAGTCATTGCTCAATCACTCTCTCCCAAAGCTTCATAGTGTGGCTCTTGTTTTCATGAATATTAATTATTGCATCAAAATTAGCTTTCAATAACTAAGATTTCCTCTTATAATATGCCTTCACAAACAACTAATTATGACCCAAAGAGTCACATTTTTAACATAACATGCATGAACAGACGGACTAGGCTACAACTGTCCAATGCAGACAACAGCAGACATGGCATCTCAAATTGAGATACCTGGGAACACCTCTTAGTAGAAAGGAAAACAAATGGAACAGAGGATCAATCTTAGGCATGACATACCCATATGGGGGGATAAGGCCATAAATTAGTACCATTAAAACCCGAAATTTATATAGGTCGTGTCCATTTTCATGATTTATGGCTCCTATGACGGCATAATGACAAAAGTCCCTAAGCATAGATATCCGGTATTCATGTACCATCTTCTAACTTCAAGAAATACTAACCAATTTCAAACATGAGCAATGATACCCATAATAAACATAAGCTACGAAGTTATCATCTTCTCATTAAAGTTTTCATAATAAAAATCAAATTCTAAAACAATAAGGCACATACTTTATATCAAGAATGTTCCTTTTTGTTTATTAAGTTGAATGTTTCATTTTTAGATAAAGCACTCTGTTTTTTATATATTTTTATTAGGTCTACTTTTTTCAATAGAAAACAACATCTCTCCCATACTTCAAAGTCCACAATGTCAAAGTAATAAAATAAGGCAAGGTAATAAAACCAACAATAGCAACATGTCAACAAATAAGATCATCCAAGGTAAGTTTCTACATTGGCCTGGGGAGCAAAGTATTGTCGTCTCTCCTATTCTTTTATTAGATCCAAGGAGTCAGTCCCTTTCCCCGCAACCCTTTTTTACTTTACGATCTATTCCAGTATTCTTCATCGGCGGTCACCTACCTACCTGGACGTAATGGTAGTGGTGCTACAATGGTGGCCTATTTCACCAAAAGAATTTCCACAAAACCGGGCGGGCAGGAGGGACTGGATGGTGGCATTAGGTGTAACACTGGCTGCATTTTACTTCCTTCAACTACCCTTATCAACCTTCCTTTATTGTTAGGGGTTTTCGAATGGCAAGAAAAAATAAAAAGGGAAGCTTTTCGTCAGCTCGGCTCGCTCTTGACAAATCCAATCGGAATTTAAGAAGTTCAAAATAGCTCATATCTGGAGTCAAAGGATTCGAACCTTTGCATGTCGGTACCATAAACGGATGCCTTACCACTGGGCTAAGCTCCATTTTTTTCAATAGAAAACATGTCAGTCATATTTCAAATTTTCTATGCCCATAATGCATGAAATTTGTCATACTTTATCCATTATTTTCTCTCAGCAGTCCTAGTAAGTGGTGAAATTATAGTAAGTGGTGAAATTATAAGCAGACAAAAAATGGATGCATTTTTTAAATTTAATGTGGTAGATGACAATTCACTTACAGAATCCACCCGAGGGATCTTGAATCGGGTAAACCAGCGTAGAACTTGTTCCCTGAAAGTCTTTCCAACATCAATTAAGATATAGCTGTGTTCTCCACTACCATGAGAATAATCAATAAGCAGAGATGTATTGCACCTGTTATTGCCATTAAAAGGAGAGAAAGTGACATATGAGACTAAAAGTTAATGACTATATGCTAATCAAGCCTGCTACGCACATCCACATAGAAATATCGAAAGAAAAATAGTCGCAAAACAATATCTATAATATAATGGACCCTAAAATTTAATTTTTGGCAAGTAAGAGGTATGTAACTAGAGATCATTGTTAAAAAAGGACACATCACTCTCTAATGAATGTTTTTTTTTTTTTAATGCTGTTAACTTTTTAATGTGGTGACTAGGTGTGCGGATGCTACCACAACGACCCCAGGCCCTTGAGACTCTCACTCTAATGAATGTTTTCGACCTATATCCCAACTTTCGGAGTCAGCTTGAATTTCTTCAATATTATAACCCCTTGAAAATTCTAGAGCAAATTCCATACCAGAAAATGTCAGACCACAAGAGATGAAAATAACTACTAACACATTCTACTAATGAGAAAAACCAATCACAGCTAAACATAAGCTCTTTTATCAAGTATAATATAAAACGTAAAACATCATAAAACCATCTGGAAAAATAAAAATATATTTTTTCTTGAGGAAGGGAAAACAATAAAATACTATATGTCGAAAGATGTTAGCTTCTTATAAACTTGCAGACCTTGACTACCTAACAAAGTTAAGATAACATGCAGACACAGGGAAAATGTCAATAAAGGAGACAGGAGTCCTCTATGGAATTTGACGCGCCGTAGTGACTAAGAGATGAAAAGTTGCTTATCAACATAATAGAAGGTCAATAAAAAACCGGATAGTAGTATAAATTAAAAAAATAAACAAATAATGATAACTAATTAAAAAAAAGATTGTCTTTTCATAATAATAATGATAACTAATTAAAAAAAAGATTGTCTTTTATACTCCAGAACTGACGTCTACATTCAGGAAAGTATCTCTTTTTTCGACTTACCTCCACTCCTGGAGCTTTATTTTACTCATAGAAACCCTATTTTTGGATTCCGAAAAGTGATAGTATGGGCCTGAGAATTTTCAAAAGCAATAAGGACCACCATGCCTACTGAATATTTGCTGAGAATTTTCATTAATAGCCATAATTTCTTTAAGATGGTCAGTGGAATTCCAAAAGGACCAGAATGGATGTTTGAAATACCATGAATGAAGTGACTGTTAGAAACTTAGATGGTTCACAAGAGATAAATAGAAACGAAAGATGGTTCACATGAGATAGGCACTCAAAAATTGCCCATATATCTCAAGTTATCCTATCATACCATCTTGTGGTAACTAATCTAAAACAATTACAAGGAGTCTCTGAACACTTTCCACTTTCCATTGAAACCACAGAAATTCCAAACCATCTTCATTGCTGATTTCCAAAAAATTTCTTAAAATAATTACTCCGCTTTGAAGTTTCTTGTTTATTTAATTATTCTTGACTAGTAATCATGCTCGTTGCACCACATTAGAAACCAACTTCAAGCCAAGTTAAATGTCCCAATTGTCACAATTTAGAACCCCAAGCCAATTAAAAGATCCAATTGTCACAGTTTGGAACCCCAAACCAAGATCGAGCTCTGATTGTCAAATTTGACAAACCTTTCAAACAGTTGGCTAAAACCAACTCGTTCCTGGACATCATTCACGTGTTGTATAAAAGAAACAAACCCTCAAATACGGCCATACTGATTTTGAGTAGGTTAAAAATCCATAGTTATTTGAGTACAACTGCATCACACCACAGATCTGTAAACCAATTGCATGTTAAGGCCTTGAATACCAATAACCAGGATGCTCTACATTATTTCAGTAACATTTTGCAGCAAATCCACATTTCTTTCATCATGACAAATCTACATAATCTGAGAACAAAGCCAACCTATAATCTGGATTCAGCTCAGGTGGAGTCAAAACTGCTTTGTGGCACAACTCACAAGGGGGATAAGAAGGCTGTAACAAACACCTTGCATTTGGAACCGCGCTTGAACAACCAGTTCCCAAAAACAGCAAAGCAGATTGTGAGTCTTCACAAGAAACATCGCAAAGGCTCCCATTCTGGGTCTCAGAAATGCTTCCATTGTTTGTCGCTAATCCACCTTCCATCTTGTTTCACTATCCAACAAAAAAAATATTTGTAGAGGAGATGAGCAAATGTGCCCTAGAAACCTGTAGACGAGCTTCTTCTTGTTAACTGAACAGGGATTTTAGAAAACGCAAATATTTAAACGCAAAAGAACCACCAATATCTATCAGACAATCAGAGCAAGTGCACCATATAAATCTAGCAGATCATGTGTATCTATAAATTTTACAGAGAAAATGTGCCCTAAAAATCCATCTGAGTAAATCCATATAAATATATAAGAGAAACTGTGCCATGGAAATCAAATAGAGCAAATTATTACCTGTCTATCAGAGAGCAAAATGTGCCCTAGAGAGCTCAAAGAGAACAAAAATGTCCTAAAAAATCATCAGAACAAAATGTGCCCTAAAAAGTTCAAGAGAAAATGCTGCCCTAGACCCGTAAAATTTACAGTGAAAGTCAGCAAACTCAAGGACCAATTTATAGAGTTCGGAAAGAAAGGCGCGGGAGAGCGTGTGACACGTGTCATCATCGGACGCTTTTTGGCTTCACTTTATCTCAGGGCAAGAACGGCACGTGATGAAACATGAAAATAATGTAATTCTATTGCTTATTTTTAAAGTCAAAATATTTGCTGCTCGCGTGCTCCTGTGTGAGCATAATGTTCGTTTGCTCCTTTGATTAAGTTAGAGCTCATAGTATTTATGGACCCCAAATTTTTGGAGAAATAACCTCTAGAACTGAAATAAAAAAATAAAAAATAAAATAAAATATCTATGCAACCAAAATTAAAATAATATATTAAACAATAACCCTTCGATTTTTGGAGGGCAAGATGGAGCTGAACTCAAACTCCCTGGTTTCTTTTTTGAAAATAATCATGTGCTGATATTTAGAGGACTCCAAATATTATGAATCAAATAAATCCTCCCAAATAGCTCTTTTTATAGAGGGAGTTGCCACAACGTGTGCTCTTGAAGGAACATGCTTCATAGACCAACATGGAATGAAATCCAATATTTTAAAATGTTTTTGCTTTATAAAAATCCCAATTTGTGGGAAGTCTCATCAAATTATCCATGAGAAATAACAATTTAACATCTAGCCTGCATTTTTTTTATATTTAATCTCAAAATGCTCTTAAAAAAAATGTGATCTTGAGATGAAAACGTTGCAAATTAATATAATATTAAATATATCATCTATTGTGTATATTTTGATAATAGATTGTCTACAAAAATATCATTTGCCTTTTCTACCAGGAGGTCATAGTTATTTTTGTTTCTTAGATTTCAAAATGAGTAGTGGTAAGAATGTCATTGATTAGACGCAAAGTTCAAAAAATAATAATTATCAAAGACTCATCTCAAGCTATTTAATTTGACATCTAATAAGTACGAATAGTTATAAGCTTCTTGTATAAAAAGTAAATAGTCTCTTTATAGATAATCCCGATAAGAATGAACTTCCCTAATTGCTATGCAATTATTATATTGCTATGCAATTATTATATTGCTAAATAGTGAAAAATAAGTACATAAAATATAATTAATATGGTTATTCCATATTTTAAAATTAAAATAACGAGGGGTTACTTTTTAATGTAATAATAGTTTTTTTTTTTTAGTGCTTACAAGTATTTAAGTTTTTTAAATGACAGATGGATTTCATGAACATATAAAGAATGAGATTGTATACTATGATACAAAAACATCATTTGGTAGTAGGCATTCGCTATTTGACCGGGATTAAACCTTAAAACACATCGAGTTAATGGACACAAACAATACAATAAATTAGATTATGAAAACCGAGATCTTAAAAATAATTTTGAGAAAAATAACATATATATTCGTTATATGTAACATTATTACATAATTATTGTGAAGTTTATGTTATTACATGTATACCCATAGTTTTAACTTCATATTTTTTTTTAAAAAAGGATATAACTGTCATTTTTGGTATTTGAAAAGCTAAAAAGTAACCCAATCGGTTTTTCAAAAATTGAAAACTATCTTTCATTTTCCAATAACTTACTGAAAAATTCATTGGAAAGAGATAGATTTCCTATTTTGAAATACCGAAATTATTATGTTTTTGATTTTTTAAGAACCAAAAATTGGATATTTTCGATTTTTCAAAAACCGAAATCTATCTTTCATTTTTCCAGTAATTTACTAAAAAAATTATTAGAAATTTCAAAAACAGAAAACTATCTTTCATTTTTTCAGTAAATTACTAAAAAAATTACTAGAAAGAGACAAATTTTTGGTTATTGAAAAACTACATTTTAGTTTTTCAAAACCGAAAAAGCTTATCTTATGGTTTTTGAAAAAACAAACGTTTAAACATTTCGATTTTTCAAAAATTGAAAAGGGCAGCTCAGTTTTTTTTTTTTTTAATGTTATGGAGTTCAAAAAACGGGTATATATGTAATACAATAAAGTTCATGGTAATTATATATTAACACTAATATGTTGATATCACAAGACAAAATGTTTTTAAGACTTTAAATTTGTTTTTTTCTCCATATCTATTTAACTCGATGTCAAGATGATCAATTAGATTGTTTTTCAACATCAAAACACTATTTTTTGGAAGTTTTTTAAAGGTGCACCTTTATTCTACATTTCAATGCAACAACCTCATACAAACTTTTCTTTTTCCTTAGGATTTAGGGGAAAAGATGGTTGCAATTAACTCTATTTATAAATAGACCATTTATCTTTAATACAAGGATGTCACTTCTAATATTACTCATTAGATGTCAAATTGGATAATTTGAGAAAGTTATGAAGATTGAATTTTTTTAAAATTTTTTTTTGTGTCTATTCAATAATATTCTTACATCCAACTATTTCGAAATTGAACAATTGTTTCATGCGGGCTAGACCACATTTCTACAATATGCAGTCCAAACGTATAAAGCACCCATCTTAAAGATGGATACAAATCGGTAGTTAATCTAAAAACAATTGTAACTAACTGTCTAAATGTTTTATTAATATAATTATTATTCATAGTTTTCATTTTTTTTTTTTCATATTCATGATCTCTAAGTTAAAGATTATATATTCTCTAAAAAAAAGATCAAATTATATTTAAAAAATATATTTATCGCCAAGCCCACATTTCTACAATGTTAAAGATTATATATGTAGAAATGTGGTCCAGCCCGCATGAAACAATTTTTCAAAATATAAAGCATCCATCTTTAAGATGGATGCAAGTAGGTGTTCTGGCAATAAAAACTAACTGTCCAAATATTTTCTTATTAGAATTATTATTTTGAATTTTTAAAATTTATTTAATTTTTCATATTCATAATATATTCTTATTAAAAATATTATTTTCAATTTTTAACATTTATTTGTTTTTTCATATTCATGTTCTCCGTGCGGGTGATTGTGTGTCTTTAGAAATCAAGCCTTAAAATCCATCTCAGAATAGATTTATCAAGTGGCCGTATTTCTACATCTGCGGGCTTGGCCGAATGGAAACCGGGTCCGCATACTTTTACCTCTAATTTTTCTTTAATTGGGATTTTAGGGTTCAAGGCATCACTGATTTAATGCTTTCGTTTTTTCGCGGACACATTTTCTGGTTCTATGCTTTTCAGAGAGAGAGAGGGAGAGAGAGAGAGTCTTAGATTCACCATTGAAGAAGAACACCTATTTGTATTTGTATTTCGACTGAGATGAGAAAAGCCCTAGCAAGAAGTATCTTCCCTGCAAATTCAAAAAGACATGGTTTCTCCGGCTCAAAGCCCTGCATTTGCAGCGAGAAACGCCATGGCGAGAACGTGAAAATTCACAGCTCTGCCCCAAATGGTTACTACCCAAAGCTCACTGGCTCAAACCCTGCAAACCCATTTTTTACATGTACAAGGTTATTCTCATCCCTTGAGAACACCAATTTAGGTGCCCAGCATGAAAACCCAGAGCTTTTCTTTGGTCAAGATTTTTTGCATGAGGGAGAATCAGAAGGGGAGAGCTCAGAAGAAGGAGACGGAGATTTTGGGTTTTTAGACCTGTTTAATCAAAGCAAAGACAATAACCAAGAAAAGATTAATGAGGTTGCTACAGGTAAAGATGAAATCAAGGTTTCTCTTGTTCGACAAACTTGCAGAGTAGTAGATGATTGTAAAATTCAGAACTCCAATATAAAAAATGATGATTATGAAGAAGAATTTAGGAATCCACTAGTGAGAGAAACTTGTAGGCTTCTAGAGAAGAGTAATTTATGGAACCCCAACCTCGAAGGCCAACTGAGAAATCTCGTACGGAGCCTCAAGCCCCATCAAATTTGTGCAGTTCTTCGATCTCAGAGCGATGAGAGGATTTCTCTCAGTTTCTTTTATTGGGCTGACAGGCAATGGCGTTATAGACACGGGATCGAGGTTTACTATACCATGCTTGAAATTTTAAGCAAAACCAAGCTTTGTCAGGGTTCAAGGCGAATACTGAGATTAATGGAGAGAAGGGGAATTCAAAGGAGAACACAGGATTTTGGGAATGTAATGGTTTCATATAGTCGAGCTGGCAAGCTAAGAAGTGCCATGAGAGTTTTGAATTTGTTGCAAAAATCTGGACTTGGGCCTGATATATCAATTTGTAACACTGCTATTCACGTTCTGGTTATGGCTAATAGATTGGAGAAAGCTTTGCTTTTCTTTGAGAAAATGCAAAGGGTCGGGATCTCTCCTGATACAATTACATTTAATGTGTTAATCAAAGGGTGTTGCGAACGCGGGCGAGTAGAAGAGGCCCTGCAACTTTTGGAAGCAATGGTGGCCAAGGGTTGTCCCCCTGATAAGGTTAGCTATTATACCATAATGGGTTTGTTTTGTAAAGAGAGAAGAATGAAAGAGGTCAGAGAATTGTTGGAAAAGATGTTGAATGAGCATGGGTTGATCCCTGATCAGGTGACATACTCCACTTTGATTCATGTTTTGTCAAAGCATGGTCATGGAGAAGAAGCTCTTGAGTTTCTTCGAGAATCACAGGAGAGAGGTTTTTGGGTTGACAAAGTTGGGTACAGTGCAGTAGTGCATGCATTTTGTAGAGAGGGAAAAATGGATGAAGCAAAGGAAATTGTGAATGAGATGTTCTCTAAAGGCTGTATTCCTGATGTTGTAACTTACAGTGCAGTTATTAATGGTTTTTGTCGAATAGGGAAGACTGAACAGGCCCAAGCAATAATTCAGAATATGTATAAAAATGGGTGTAAACCAAACACTGTTTCTCACACTGCATTGTTAAACGGTCTTTGTAAGATAGGAAATTCAATTGAGGCAAGAGAAATGCTTTGGTCTAGTGAGAGAGAGTGGTGGACACCGAATGGCATTACTTACAGTGTTGTCATGCATGGGCTCAGGAGAGAGGGTAAATTGGCAGAGGCCTGTGAATTGGTAATGAATATGCTCCAAAAAGGGTTTTTCCCAACCCCCACAGAAACAAATCTACTAATCCATGCGATTTGTAGAGAGGGAAAGTCGGCTGATGCCAAGAACTTCATGGAGGGATGCTTGAGCAAGGGTTGCACAATAAATGTAGTGAATTTTACTACTCTGATTCATGGGTTTTGTAAAGAAGGTGATATAGAATCTGCACTCTCATTACTGGATGATATGTATCTAAATAACAAGCATCCTGATGTTGTGACCTATACCACTATCATAGATGCATTGGGTAAGAAAGGAAGATTGGAAGAGGCCACTGCGCTTGCTAACAAGATGCTGAAGAGGGGAATCAATCCTACTCCAGTTACATATAGAACAGTGATCCATAGGTACTGTGAGAATGGAGAAGTAAAAGAATTAGTTGGTTTATTAGAAAAGATGATGGCTAGAGAGAGTTTTAAGAATGCTTATAATCTGGTTATTGAGAAGCTCTGTAAGTTTGGTAAGCTCGAGGATGCTCATGCACTCTTGGGTAAGGTGTTAAGAACAGCTTCTAGAGTAGATGCACAGACATGCCATGTTTTAATGGACAGTTTTTTGCGGAAAGGGCTCCCTTTGCAATCATATAAAATAGCTTGTAGAATGTTTAAGAGGAATCTTATCCCTGATATTGAGTTGTGTGAGAAAGTGAAAGAGAAGTTGAGTTTGCAAGGGCATTTGAAGGAGGCAGAGCGGCTTATGATACAATTTGTAGAAAGGGGATGTGTTCGACTAGAATGCCAGTAATATAAACTGTAGTGAAGCATTGGTGAAAACTAGAAATGAAAAGATTCAGTGCAAGGCCTTAGTATGTGGGCTTAAATTTTGTACAATTGGGTTTATCAAAGAGCCTTGTGGCATGGGCATGTTAAAGGTATATTCTCACCTTGGAATAGTGCCCCTGCCTTCATTAGTGGCACTTCATAGACACCTCCTACAAATGCGGCTTTTATGATTCACTTTTTGCTTCCAGATTGTGTACGAGGTAAGTTTCTAGCGGCTTTTATGATTCACTTTTTGCTTCCAGATTGTGTACGAGGTAAGTTTCTAGACATTAACTTCACTAATATCTCCATTGTTGTTTGGGAAAGTTTACCATGGTATATCACCATTTGACAAGTGATGAATGGTAATGGAGACTGGGACCCTCCATTGGGTCAGGCCCTATCCTGGTGGGTCCCACTCTTCTCATCACAGTCTACTGTGCATCAGATGGTGATGACACAATGGACCACGTTTTCCCGTAGTTGATTGAAGTATAATATGCATTCTTTAACTTTCTTGTTCAGGTTGCTTACTTCCTAAGTTTTGATCTTCTTTTCATTGCCATAGGAACCAGAGATTTGGAGAATTCCATCGAAGCTCTTCCATCTATTGCCTGGCTTATTGGGTCCACAAAATTCCTACACTAAATTTCTGTGGTAAAGAAGTTTCACTTTTTCGTGAGCATATCTTTTTGTGGTCAGTTTTCTTCTTCTTTAACTAAAACTGCTTTTTAGCTTTCACTGGTTCAATGTAGAATGACTTGACAGGAAGTTACTATACTTTTGCCTACAATGAGACGTTTTTCCGTTTCTCTTTTCTTTCTTTCCTTTTCCTGTTAATGCCTGGAATGATGCTGTCATCGATACACACAAGATGGAATTCGAAGAATTCTTCACTTTCTTTCCAATATAGAAACTTTCAGCTATTTATTTTCTTAAACTGGGTTTGCATATAAGTCCACCTTGTTTTCTGAGATGTGTTTAGGTGCTTGCTTCAACCCATGCACTATCTTCTTTAATTTATATCCTTGGTCAGAGTTACCCTGGACATAAATCCCTTAGGTGGTAGGCATATATGCTTTTTCATGCAGGTCCCCATGCAACAAAGCATTTTCCCATAGAAGAAAATATACTTTAGTCAAATGGACTGTGGAAAACTGTAATCCATGTAGTGGGCTCATTTTCGTCGAAGGAAACAAAGGATCATGATGGAGATAGTGCGGGAGCAGCAGGACCTACTGTTTGGGCACGTCCTGTTTTGGTTGGTCTCAAATTCCATTTTTCTTTTTGGAGTAAGTGCATTTTCTACATCACCATTCTTGAACGCAGTGGATGGTGATCGCTGTAATGGACTACAGTTTTCCATAGTCCATCAGATTTGTAGCCTATTTTTGCTATGCCATATTTATAATAAAAAAAATTAATTGTTCAGTTATGGTCAAATTACAAATGGTGCAATTGTACTACTGCTGGGATGGATATCTTATGCTTTTAACATCCTGTTCCAATAAGGACATAAGATTACCCTGACATATACAACTGAGATATATGTGTGTCATATCTTAACGAATTAGGTCATTTCACTGAGTTGAAAACACATAAAAAGGATGTATATGGAAAGCAAATTTTTTCCATAAAATTTTTTATATTCCAAACCTACAAGCTTCTCAACTTGACATAAGAAATTTAAGCTTCTAATTATAGCGACCTATGCGGACCTGATGGGTCTTCACCTTTAAAAGTCTCTTAGAGCTTGGGCTTGAAGGTAGATCCTTACATGAAGTTCTCTTTCCAAATAGTTCAACTCTTTTCGGTCTACCCAAGGACGATGGGCTGGTAGGCAATATAAATACTTGGGCTCTTTAGGAGAATAGAAATAAAAGAAAAGACGGCACAGGGTAAATAATGGATGGAAGAGATGAAAGGGGAATGAATGCTTTTTCCTTCTTTTTTTTTTCCTTTTTTTATCGGCGGCTAAATACAGTACATATGCACAGAATGTGAGGAAAATTTCAGTTATTCGGCTTAACTGCTGGTGCTAGAAAGAGTCGCATTCAGTATTCGGATTATTGACCCTCCAAAAGCTCACACCCGAGTTCTATGGACCTTATTGAGTTGTGCTGAGCACTTTTGGAATTTTTCGATTTGTCTTCACTTGCCCTTCCATAAAAGGTTGGGATTATGATATCGCAGGCTGACCCAACTTTAAGCTAGCAAGCTCAGGGCTAGTTGGATTGTAGGGCCTGGCAATATGCCGGGCCACCTTGGGCCAAGCCCGGCCTCGCCCCTATGGGGCTGACCTGAGCCTAGACTGAAAAGGTCTTCCCCCTGGCCTGGCCTGGCCTGGGCCTAGAACACCCAAAGGGAAAATAAGGTTAAAAGGGTTGGGCAGGGGCTTAAGTCCTTGAGCCACATTTGTGGCGTATGTCCTAGATTTTCAAGGCCTGGCAGACCTGGCCGGGTCAGGCTTCCCATCCCATTGTCAGTCTTATTTGGATGCACTGGTTGTCACTTATAATTTACTGTCACAATAACATATTAGCTGTCCTCTATAAGTTTATGTAAGAATGTTCAGCTCTTTTCCATATCTATACAACACCCAGTGTTTATTCTATCATGTATAACTTTGTGCGATTTTATCAAGGCCTTTTGTTTCAAGACCGAATTTCTCAGCTCAGGCTTTCAAATCTCCTTCCTTCCCTGAAAACCTCTCCTTCTCACTCTTTATATCTGTCTCTAAACCCTAGGAAACACTGAAGCCCTAATCTCTCTCCTGAACCCTAAACCCTGTGCCCTATCGTTCTCCAGTAAACTCTTCAGCTTCTCACCATCATCTCACTGGTGATGAAGGCATGGAATTAGGATCCACAAGGAAGCTAGCGCAATTGGTTGCAAGGTGAGAGCAAAAGAGTGTGAAGGTGATGATGTGAAGAGGAGTAAGGGTGATGAGGTTTGCCACAAAAATCTTACTGAAGTTCTTGAAAATTGGAGCTCTGAGAAACCTGACACTAGTATCGTAGATGATAATTTGGCTGGGATATATGGACTTAGATACGTAATTTCGCATGGACTTAGAACTTTGGGTAAGATTTTACAATTGATAGCCCAAATGATGCATATTAATCGTGGGATTGTATTTTCAGATGCTCAAATTAAAATACTATTCTTATTAATACTATTCTTATTCAGTTGGGTCAATTGCTATGTAATCTGTGAATGCTGAAATTTCCAATTGTTGATAACAAGCTTCTGACAATCATTTTATTTTCTCTCGATATCGAGAGAGACAATTGCAGTGTCTCTTTGAAGCTGTAAAAGACAAGTGTGGCACATTTGATTTATGTCGTACGATTGAATGCTGCTAATAGTCAACCTCACCAATCAAATATGGAACCTCACTAATCAATCATCGATCTATGCACTACAATTTTCCTTGCTCATGCTCAATAATGAGCCCTAAACTTGGACTCCTATTCTATAAAAAGTGGTGGTGTTGAATCTGGACCCTAACATATCGGAATGATCCCACAATTCCCTTCAACATTAACATTCAGGGTGCTTGTGGATTTCTTAAAAGTTAGAACTGACAAATCTATTTCCTGATCCAACTATTCACCACAGAAGTAGATTGGTGTTAGCATTTGTGGAATGTGCATGTTTATGTATTTGTGTTTTAACTGTAATTCGGGTTTGTTTTATTGGAAACTATTCCCTAATCCTATTTTTCATTTGTGATAGGTCCTCATGAGGCCATCACCAACATTGATGAAGAGAGTGGGACTCTCTAGATGATCAGATGAAATAGTTGATACTTGATAGTTCCTGCTCTCTTTACATCACCATCCAAACACATTGATTGGATGTGATGACCCTGACCACATATTCAATGCGGTAGTGATGATTGCAATATGTATTTTTTTTTGTGCTCTGTCACAGAATGTGTAATTTTCCGCTGATATTCTAAATAAAAGTGATGATTACAGTGTGTAGACTTCGTCTTGATTGTGAAGTCTCAAATGAATTATTTTCTGTGCTGTCGCTGACTGTGAAATTTTCCACAGATGTTCCCAAAAAAAAAAATGGTGATTGCAGTATATAAACAAGTGCTTCTCAACTCTCGGATGAAAAGAAATATAGCTAGGTTAGGTTTTGAATGACCCAATGGGTTTAGTTTTTTAATACTTATTTTTATTTATGCAGCATTGAGGACCCTTTTTGCTGAGAGGCTCTCAACATGCCAGTTAGAAGTTCTTGGAGGATCTTTTTTTATGAGAACTGATTACTTGCCACTAAAAAGGTTTGGGATCATTCCTTTAAATCCTTTTGCCTTGTGTCTATATAAGATTACATGAGGATCATTCGTAGAAAAGGAAATCACTCTGCAACTGGTTACTATCTCAGCACCAAACATCGAAGTGGTGAGTTCTGACCTGTTTTTCTTACACTAGATTTTCTGGTTTAATTTTGGAAATGACCTCTCTTTATCTCTTATATAATATTACTTAATTTACTCTTCATGTACTTTGCATAGCTTCATGACATCATATACTGCAGTCAAATCATAACGTAGATCTGGATTGGTTTTGAAATTTGAACCCAATTAACCCTTTTCATTGGGATAAATCGCATTGTTTGGAGCCTGTTCAGTTCTGAGCATGTCAACTGGTGTTTATGAATAGATCTAATCAGGCACCAATTGTGTAAGCTTCTTGTTACTGTTTTATGGGATGCTCTTTCTTAACAGTTAAATTTCCAGTCTACTCGAGCATTTTTTAAGGTTACAGTATTCCAAAATGCATTAAAGCACATAGATGGGTTTAATACCTATCAACTGCTTGACTGGTTTATAGGAAGCCCATGGCTCAAAGCATATGCTTTAGAGGGCTTTGCTAATTGCTTACTTGGTTGCTTTGTCTAGATATTTATTCATTCAATTTTCAACTTTGCTCTTGGCTGCCACTTTACTCTGTCAAATTACTCTGCCAGCACGTGTAGAATCAATAAAATTGAGTAGTTCATGATATCCCATAAATTATTACTTTGAAATAATGACTTGTATTCAAATTGCAGTAATACAAATGTTTTAATATTAGATCAATGTGCTTTCAAGTGCCTTGGTGAAGAAATAGTTTCTGGGACGGTGCAGAGTTTTGACCTTCCACTGGATTACTACCTATATGGATAACTACTTTGAAAGAATTAAATTTGGTCTTGTTTATTCTAAATGATCCGTGTGTGTGTGTGTGGGGCATGCGTGTGTGTGTGTGTGCATGTGTGGATATGTGTCCGTGTGTGTGGCGCTGAGGCTTTTGAGCCACTAAAAATAAATAAATAAAGAAAAATAGTTGCTGGAATTAATTTTACCATATACATGCTGGGACAAAGGGAACGTGTGCCTACAAAGTTCAAGATTTGGAATGCCTTTCTGTATTTGATAAGTTGTTATCTGAGATTCAAATGGGCCTTGCACATGTATCGCTCTTTAGGCAATGAGGATGAATGTATCTGTATATATATGTATCTATGTATAGACATACATACATGTGTGTATGCATGTATGCGTGCATGTATGTTCCCATCTAATTTCTCTTGCCTAATTGTCACCCTATTGAGTGTTGGGTTCCAATTTTTTCCCCAAGTAATCCTTTTCCCTAATATATAAATATTGGTTGCTTAGTCATGGTAATTTTTACCCTTTTCTCTTTCTTGTTAATTATTTTACTGTTAGGGATTTATTAGTAATGGAAATTGAAGATAACTAATATGCTAATTTGCAGCTCACTCTGTTGTTAGTAGTAATGAGGAACACTAAGGGATGATAATGACATTACAGCTGAACTGAAAGTTTGAAATCCGTGTTACAGGACTTGCCCAAGTCGGCCAGTAAGGCGGCCTTGCCCTATGGGGGAGGCCGAGTTAGACCAAGTTGTGTGCAACTTGGGGTACATGAAAAAAATTTAAAAAAGTTCCAAAACTACTGTAAAAAAAAAAGAGAGAGATTCTTTTATAGTTTTTATATTTGCATAATTTGGATGTTTTTGCCAATGATTGGTGGTTTTTATTTTTTGCATAATCTTTTTCTTTTTTTAAGGATTTTTTCTAAAATGTCCCCAACTATAAATAAGTTTAATTTTAAAATCCATTTTTAAAATATTTTTTAAGCTTATTTGGAGTTTTTAAGGTTGTGTTTTGTTTTATTCAACATTTAGTAGCTTCATTTTATTTTTGGGTAAAGTTTATGTAAAGTTGCAACCTTAACATGTAGAATTATGGACGCACCTCAAAAATATATCGAAAAGGTTTTAATATTGAAAAATCGTCTAATCGATTATCTCGAGGTCAAGATATATAAGTATGAAAAAAAAAAAAAAAGTTTTTGAATCACATAAATAGTGCATTTTGGAACACATTATCTAGACAGTCCATTGTCAAGATTTTTATATATTTATAGATCTACGAGATTTTAACCATTTTTTAAATTTAAAAATTTTTAATTAGATATGAAAATGGATTGTAAGATAATCCTAAAAAAATTTTACAACAAAAAGATAAAATTTGGAGGTGCGTCTTGATTGGATTGTTTAAGGTTGCAACCTTTATAGAAACCCCACCTTTTATTTTTTCAAAGATTTTCCATTTTTTAAA